ACTCTCTGTACCTGAACATCTAAAAAGGGGACTGTAGTCGTATCACAGCACATAGTGAATTTGATATTCTCATCTTGTACATTTAATGACTCAAAGAATTCCTGTAGGTGGGCCCTGGTGCCGCTCCAACATATGAACACATCATCTATATATCTTTTCCAAACTAAGCATTTTGAAAATAAAGGATGTTGATAGATGCATGTTTCCTCCATTCGATTCATATACATGTTAGCATATGTTGGAGCGACATTCGAGCCCATAGCTGTACCCTTAATCTGTTTGTAGTACTTGTCACCAAACAAAAAGTAATTCTCCGTCAAAATGAAAGTCAGTAGTTCCCTAATGTATTTACGGGTCTCCCCTTGTTGGGTTAGTCTCGGGTCTCTATCCAGTGTCCAATCGACTGCCTCTATCCCTCTATTGTGGTCAATTGAAGTATATAGTGACTGTACATCCATGGTTACCAACCAAAAGTCACCTGGTGGAATCTGTATGTCTGCTAATAGTGTAAGAAATGTAGTCGTATCTTTAAGATATGATCTCTGTAATGGGACATATTTAATCAAAAATTTGTCCAGTATCTCTGCTGGGTGTTGGAATATCGACCCAGTCCCACTGACTATCGGTCTACCTGATGGAAAGAGGGGGTTCTTATGTATTTTTGGGAGGGTGTAGAACACCGGAATTCTTGGGTATTTAAGGTTCATATATTTATATTCTCCATCAGAGATAATATTTTTAGAGAGGGCCCATTGGTTAAGCTTGTCTAGTGTACGTTTCAGATTGTGTGTAGGGTCTTGACTAATGAGTAGGTAATTAGTATTATCCATTAGCTGGGTCTCAATTTCTTTTGTATAATATGTACGATCCATGATCACCAATGCTCCCCCCTTGTCTGCCGGTTTGATAATAATGGATGCATCTTTCTTCAGATTATTGATATTCGACCAATCTTGTTTAGTAAAATTAATACTTTTCCTCTGATAACCATGTGTATATTGATGTTTTCTCCTGAGTTTATATATATCTTTTTTCACAAGATTGGTGAATATATCAATGGATGTATTAATATTATGTGGTGTGAAAGTGCTTTTAGGTTTCAAACCTGTATCAAGGGAAAGGACAGTGCGTGGACCAGACTCGGAAATGTAGTGTCCCACAGTCTCCATATTTCCTTCCTCATATAGATCTCCCTGTGTAATCTGTGCAGTGTTGTCAGTAGATTCTGCTGCTGTGCAAGAATTGTGCTGATCTGTTGAAAAAAATGCACGTAATTTAAGTTGGCGAAAAAATTTATACAAACTGACGTCATATTGGTGCCACTCTATATGAGGTGTGGGAATGAAGGAGAGTCCCTTATTCAGGGTCCCCTCCTCCATAGGGGTTAAGGGCCTACCTGAAATATTGTATATTAGAGATTGCGTCTCGATTGGGGCGGTCGGCCCTGTCTTTTCTCCCGAATGCTTCTTGTTGTAACCCCCCCGCCTGGTGTTTCTTCGTGTCGTGTGCCTCTCTCTAAAAAAGTCATCCCTGAGGACGAGGAGGCAGAGGAGGAGGATGTAGCCCCTTCTGTATCTGAGCGCCATCTCTGTGTATTTGTATCTCTGTTAAATCTGTATGGACGATTATCTGCTCTAGAGTACCAGGTATAAACTTGATCCCTTTGGTAATCTAATTCGTCTCTATGAAATTTTTTCTTTTTGAATTCTTCCGTTTCTCTCTGATATTCTTTTAATTTTTCTTCTATTTGCTTTTTGAGCGTTTCTAAATCAGTTGATGCAGTGACCGCTGCTAGTTCTTGTTCCGCTGTTGCTATCTCTTTAATAAGTTTAGTTAATTCTTTCTGTAGAGATTCTATGGTTAATACCATAAGGTCCACTGAGCATTTGTTTAGAATTTTATACCATACTGTTCGGTGTTCAGCATTGTCCCTACATAATGTGGGATGTAACCTAACCCTCAGACCCCTTGGGATTCTCTTTTGTCTAAGATATTCTCCTAGGGTGTTTACATGTAGTTCCCAACTAATCTTTCTTTTTAAATCTCTCTCAAGTTTATGAGCTATTCCACGTTCACTATCATTAGTTAAAAATTCCCTAGCTCCTCTAAGAGCTGATGTGATACGGTTAATATCACCCTCTGTATAGGCAAACGTTGCCATAAAGTCAACTATGTATAGGTGAAAAAATATAATCCTATGAAAAAATTTTGACAATCTAATTCGCTTCCTGAAGCGAAAAATTTAACTTGATGTTATAGTGCAAAGATGTAAATCGCATAACGGTGCTCCACACTAGGGAAGACAATATACAAAACACAATATGTGCTGGCACTCAATTATGCACGGTGCAGGTATTCGAGGTTTAACCCCACAACAACCTCCTAATCTAAATCAAAAACAAATGTGAATACCGCACTCAAAACAATTCCAGTAAAGTCTAATCTTATATTTAATTGCAAAAGCTATTTATTATAATATTAATTCATAAGTTCATAGAGTCAATCATAGTAGAATACATTTCAATCCTATATACATAAAATATTTACATATATACACAGCAAATCCTCCCTATGTTAAATTACATGAGTAATATATCTGTTTACAATGGTTAATGATCCAAAGAATGAATGTAGAAGATGATCCCAAAGAATTCAAAAAATAATAAAAAACTGTAAAAAATAAAAAATGAAAAGAGAAAAAAGAAAAAAGAAAAAAGTGAAAAAAATGAAAAAAAGAAAAAAAGAAAAAAAGGAAAAATTAATTATCATACAGTCCTGTTGTCTAATAGTCCAAAATATAGTGCACTATATGCTTCATAAGTCTATGGATAGATCTCACCAATGTAGAAGATAGCTTTAAGGTATGCTCAGTAGGAGGATGATGTAGTCTGTAGATGGTGTATAATGGATGAGGGTGAAAATACTTGTAGTTTGGTGGAAAGACAATCAATCATTTAGCAGGATCTGGTCAGTATGACAGGTCATTCAATGATCCATGGAAGTAGGCAATCCTAGAAACGGGTTGAAATGGGCTGCGCGCTTGGGACGTTCCTGTCCCTTCGATGGCCCCTGTTCCTCTCCGCTCTGTCAAGGTATAAGCATATCAGTTTAAATATCCTAACTGGGCGGCAAATTCCGCCGCGACCACTCCGTGGACTTACTTCCGCCTTCTGACGTCAGCGTGCGTCGCTGCGTCATACGTATTCAACTTAACTTTATTGTTCACAAACTTCCTTCTTCTACTGTAGTAGGAGCGTTGCGGGCCGCGGCATAGCGCAACGTGATGACGACATTTCACAGCGCCGTCAGTCTGCCTTCACGGATCTTCAGCGGAAGGATCCATTTCCGGGCGGTGAGGCACCCAGTGGTCGGACTCGGCAAGGAATCTTTGAAATGTGAGTACCGGTAGATATTTTATGTCTGGGACTGAATTAATTAAAGGGGACGGGGGGTGAATTAATTAAAGGGGGGTCAATTAATTAAAGGGTGGGCTGGATTAATTAGAGGGCGGTGAATTAATTAAAGGGGTGGTGAATTAATTAAAGGGTGGGCTGGATTAATTAGAGGGGGGTGAATTAATTAAAGGGGTGGTGAATTAATTAAAGGGTGGGCTGGATTAATTAGAGGGGGGTGAATTAATTAAAGGGTGGGCTGGATTAATTGGTGAATTAATTAAAGGGTGGGCTGGATTAATTAGAGGGGTGAATTAATTAAAGGGGTGGTGAATTAATTAAAGGGTGGGCTGGATTAATTAGAGGGGGGTGTGGTGAATTAATTAAAGGGTGGGCTGGATTAATTAGAGGGGGGTGAATTAATTGAATTAATTAAAATTAATTAGAGGGGTGGTGAATTAATTAAAGGGTGGGCTGGATTAATTAGAGGGGGGTGGATTAATTAAAAGGGGTGGATTAATTAGAGGGGGTGGATTTATTAAAGGGGGGGTGGATTAATTAGACAGTATGGTATTTTGATCCCCAAACAAGATGAGTGCAAAGAGAAAGAGCTGTACATACTGGTAACGTAAATAAATAAGCCCTACCCTGAAAATAAGCCCTAGTGTGTTTTTTGTGACTAAAATTAATATAAGACCCGGTCTTATTTTCGGAGAAACACGGTAGTGCCAAAATAAAATAGGTGGTAACTATATTGCTTTAAAGGGTTATTCCACACACCATGATCATTTCACTGATTAAATTAATAAAACAGTATTTATGGTTGGAGTAACATTTAACTGGGATAAGCAGGGCCAAATTTCACATAATATGACTGAGGCCATGGCCTCAAGAAAGCACGAGAGGGGTGGCTACGATAAAGACTCGGTAGCTTGTGGGCCTAGAAAGCTTGTGGTCTGCACCCCCGGAGAGTTGCCACAGTTTACCATTACAATGGTCCCTCAGAAGGAGCAATATTAACATCCACAACATCAAAACCACCTGTTTTATATTGTGTAGGTCCACCTTGTGCTGTCAAAACAGCTCTAATTCGTTAAGGCATGGACTCCACAAGACTCTGAATGTGTCCTGTAAATTGCGAGCTGGAGCATTCATGGATTATATTTGTTGTTCCAGCACATCCCACAGATGCTCAATCAGATAGAGATCTGGGGAATTTGGAGGCCAAGGCAACACCTTGAACTCTTTTTCATGTTCCTCAAACCATCGCTGAACTATTTTTGCAGGGTGCATTATCCTACAGAAAGAGGCCACTGCCATTAGGGAGCTCCATTGCCATGAAGTTGTGTGAACTGCAAAAATCTCTAGGTAGGTGGTAGCATCCACATGAATACCAGGACCCAGGGGCAGGCTGGGCCGGGGGGCAGGGAAACAATTGCCCCCCAGGCCGCCCCAAATCATTTTAAAACTGGCCGCTGCAGGGCTGGTCCTAATGCTGCAGCCGCCTAAGCGCTCTGTAAAGAGCCTTTAGCGGCTGCAGCACAGCTTCTCCCCTCCCCTTCCTGTAGCGTGGCTGAGCTCCTCTCCGGTCCGCGGTGCCTGGCCGGAGTGATAGGAAGGTGCACACTCAGTGTGCACTTTCTGTCAGTCCGGCCGGGTACAGAAAACAGAAACTCCTGTTCCGTGCAGAGTTTCTGTTTCCTGTACCCGGCCGGAATGACAGGAAGTGCACACTGAGTGTGCACCTTCCTATCATTCCGGCCGGGCACCACGGACTGGAGAGGAGCTCGGCCATGCTACAGGGAAGGGGAGGGGAGATTAAGAACAGGGGGGATTAAGAAGAACAGAGGGGGTGGGGGATTAAGAAGAACGGGGGTGGAGAGATTAAGAAGAACAGGGGTGGGGATTAAGAAGAATGGGGTGGGGAGATTAAGAAGAACGGGGGTGGGGGATTAAAAAGAACAGGGGTGGAGATTAAGAACAGGGGTTGGATTAAGAAGAACAGGGGTGGGGGATTAAGAAGAACAGGGGGGTTGGGGAGATTAAGAAGAACGGGGGAGGGGATTAAGAAGAACAGGGGGATTAAGAAGAACGGGGGGAGTAAGAAGAACTGGGGGGAGTAAGAAGAACACGGGGTAAGGAGAACACAGGGAGGGCGGAGTAAGAAGAACACAGGGAGGAGGGGGGAGAGTAAGAAGAATGCAGGGAGGAGGGAGGAGAAGGGGAGATGAGGAGAACACATGGAGGGGGGAGGTGAGAAGAACACAGGTGGGGGAGTGAGAAGAAGAACACACGGAGGAGGGGGAGAGTAAGAAGAACACAGGGAGGAGGGGGGAGAAGGGGAGATAAGGAGAACACATGGAGGGGAGGTGAGAAGAACACAGGTGGGGGGAGTGAGAAGAACACAGGGAGGGTGGGGGAGTGAGAAGAACACATGTGGGGAGTGAGGAGAACACGTGGAGTGGGAGGTGAGGAGAACACGGGGGGAGTGAGGAGAACACATGGAGGGGGGGAGTGAGAAAAACACAGGGAGGGGGTTGAAAAGAACACCGAAGGTTTGGGGGGGGATGAGAAGAGCACAGGGAGTGTGGGTGGGTGTAAGAAGAGACCACTAGGGGAGGGGGGGGGAGGGGAGACCACTAAGGGGCAGGGGAGAGCTCTAAGGGACAGAAGGGAGAGCTCTATAAGACAGGGGCAGGACAGGGAGCTCTTTCACACTACGCGCACACACACACAATGCATCCCTATACATTCACAGAAACACACAATGCATCCCTACACACACAGAAACACAACATGCTTCCCTTACACACAGAGAAACACACAATGCATCTATTACACACAAAGACAATGCATCATTTGCACACATACACAGAAACACACAATGCAAACTCTTACACACACTCAATGCACACACTTATAGACACACACCTTGCATCCCAAACACAGATTCACACAATGCATCCTTTACACACAACCAGAAACACACAATACATCCCTTATACACAAACACACACTGCTTCCACTACAAACAAATACACTGCATCACCAACACAAACTGGTATCCCTATACACTACATACCATAAGCACACACATTAGATCCTCTACAATAACACATAACACATCCCCTACACACTCCACTCCCTGTGAGCGAACTCATGGGTGGAACATGTAGGTGGACTTAAAGGTGGGCCTTTTGGGCATACTCACCATCAGGCCCTGGGGCCCAGACCTTGAGCTGTGTAAGGGGCCCCAAAAAAATGAAGCTGCTTCCCATTCTACTAGAACTTTGAATTTTGTGACCACAGTTACAAACAACCTCCAGAGATCCTGTTCTACACCAGACCAGTGGAGCCAAACTGCAGCCCATCATCATCCTCATCTGGTTGTAAGTAGGCAATCTAGTATATTATTAGTGACACTAATCTATAATTTACCTCACATTAAAGAGACACTATAGTCCCCAGAACCACTTCAGCTAAATGAAGTGGTTCTGGTGTCTATAGCCGGTCCCTGCAGGCTTTTTAATGTAAACACACACTGTGTGCAGCACTGGCATTAGTTCATATGGCAGATCATATAGGTGGGGCATTATGATGTCACATGGGGGGGCGGCAAATTTTTATTTTGCCTAGGGCGACAAAAATCCTTGCACCGGCTCTGACCCTTGGCAGGTGCACCAGTCTACTGGTGACCCACAGGAGGGGAGTGCACTGATTGCACTGCACTCTCCTCCTGCCCAGACCTGTCTTTACCGCAGTGCAAGTGCCCTCTGCCCCTAATTTACAGTAGCTCACACTCACAGCAAGCAGTGCCTGGAGCCCTTTGCAGAGACGGAAACAAAGAGGTTCTGCGGCAGCTGGCCGTCCTGCAAGCATTACATTCAACAGCTGTTCCCCATGCAGCCACAGGTGGAGCTGTGCTGGGAGAATGTGATTAGTCTTCACTTCCTCCCAGCCTACAGAGCAGCGCTTGGGAGAGAGAGAGGAGGAGGCATGATTTAATCTTACAACAAATCCAGTAAGCAAATCTTTATAAATTTGGGGGGGATCAGCTCTGTTGCCACAGTTTATTGGTGTTTACTCTGATGTCTGTATTAATATTGAGGGATTTCTAAGTAGTAACATCAGTGTGTGTCAGCAGGGTCAGCCGTCGGGGTGTGCAAGCTGTGCGGTCACGCAGGGTACCCTGACAACAGAGGCGCCCGGTGGCCAACACAGCTCACAAGTTGGGTACACCAGCATATTCAATTTAAACAATTCGCTGGTGGTCCACTGGTGCGCACCAGTAGTAGGTGCAGTCAGATTATATCCTCTCCCTCGTGGTTCCGGTGCTCAGTTAGTGAGTCAGAGCACAGGCTCAGACATTCTCAGCCTGCCCTCTGACAACATTGAAAGTCAGAGCCGTGAAGGAGCGGGTATGGCAAAGAGCTACTGATTAGCATAACATCAATATCCGTTATAAAACCAGGAAAAGGTGGGCATGGATGGTGAACTGATTTGGTGGTGCAATGGACCACTTGACTGGTTTTGCCCCCCAGGCCTAAGGCTGCCAGCCCTCCCCTGCCAGGACCCAATGAAAATAATTATAGAAATATAATCAAATATATAAAGATAGAGTCCCAATGCTGCTATACCTTGTGATGTGCTAATATGTCATTTAAGTAAATATAAGTAGACATAAAAAATAAAGTACATACAGTGAAGTAGTGGCTTTTAAAACAGTGTGAAACAATGTGATAATTTACATTCACAAACCCATTGTGGACATTTTATTTTTTGTTAATTTTAGGTGATACATTATCTACATTTGTTCAAGACATATTTTTATGTGCACACAACCCACAGTGTTCTCCAACAATTAAATATATATTTAAAAAATCAAAACCGCATAAGAAATATCCAGATACATTTAAAATAAATAAAGTACAATATTAATTTTAGAAAAACAGTGGTACATTAGATTCCACTCCATACGTTTTTTGCCAATTATGTGTTGCTAATAACATTGTCTTCTTGTTCATAGCTGTATTATACAACATTCTTGCGAGTGAGTGATACCTGTGTTTATTGAAATTGCCACTATAATCTAATTCAGCTAATTTCTACAGCAAGTATTAGTCATTAAAATGTAAATATGCATTACTGTTTAAATTGCTGTTTTCTAATGGCAACATATTCTTGTCATTAGAGAACATAAAGTACAACGTTTTTAATATTCTAATTAAAACAAAATTGATGCAAAAGAGGAAACGGAGAAGTATGGATCTTGTGGTTATAAATAATTAAAAATGCATGCTTAATTTAAATACACATTACTATTTGAACATTTCTTGCAATTTAAAAACCTACAGTGAATGCATATATTGTAACTGGTGTAATCACATTAACTAAATATTTTATAAATTCCTATTGTTAAAAATGTATTGTTTACAAATTATTTGTGTAGAAAATGAACATATATTGAATCACTGCTATAAGAGTTATTTACTAAACCAAGAATGATTCAAAAATTACAGAATTAGAAATTATTGACCAAGAATGATTCAAAAATTACAGAATTAGAAATTATTGACCAGAAAAATGAAAGCTGAAAACATAACTGAGTTGGATATTTTTTTCTTCTTACTTTTTGAGTAAAGTTAAGCTGGCAAAGTACCATATGAATTATAGATATATATATATATATATATATATATATATATATATATATATATATATATATATATATATATTTAAAACTGTGGGGTTACCTGTTGTCAACAACTATACTTATGCAATAGTTTGTTTTGTCCATAAATGAAACAGTTACCCCCCCCCCTCCCCTATATAGTAAATAATGAAAACTAAAAAAATTTAATAAATATATCCATGTTGTTTTAATAAAATATGTGGTAACTATATCGCATTAAAGGGTTATTCAACACAACTGATCAGACAACTGGTCTTTTACTTCCTGGTTGCTTAGCATAGTGGAGCTAAACTCAAGAGGCAGGCAATCACCCAGAGCACCTGCCTTTCAATCATTGAGCTGCATTGGGAAGTCTGTGATTGGGCGATCAGAGAAAGTCTTGGATGGGGAAGAAGGGGAGGGCTTGCAAGAGATATGCAGGTTTTGCAAGAAAAATTCCCAATGAAAAAAAATGCATAATTAAAGGCATGCATGTTTTTACTGGGGTATTTATACTAAATAATTATTGTTTTTGTATTTGGTCTTCTTAATTCTAACTGGTAATTCAAACATAGAATCTCTGATAACTTAGTGAAGGTATAATACATTTACATTACAAGCAAAGAAGGAATTCAGTGAGTTGCTACCTCTTCCTTTACTAAATGCACAATGTAATTACCAGGTAAATGTAGCTTAAGAGCCCTATTCCTTTCTCAAACCATTGTTCTGAAGGTAAAAGGCAAACGATACATTTGTAACCCAAATTATTCAACCCCCATTAAAAATTAGATTTTATTAAAGACTCGGAGGCTCCTATTATGCTTCTCTTTCTTTTAATTTCCCTCAGCAGCGAAGAGAGATGTATACAAAAGAGAGAAAAAAAATAACATTTGCATATTCACAGTGCTACCAATCAGCATCCACCCCTTCCTCTTTCTTCGCTGCTCCCTCAGACCAGCTAAGTACATTATTCTTCTACTTGCATTTGAATGTTTATTGTGGGATTTTCATGGTTACCCCTATTCACTTAGAGGTTAATTGCTCCCACTATATCTTTATTTATGTTATATTATTAT